TCTTTAGCATAACCGGATTGTCTAATACTACCGAATGAAACATTGGAATCGAATTATTGTATATGTTGATCCAAACAGTTCAACATTGCAACTTCTTAGCTACAATTAATGTAGTGCCAAATTTTCGTTTCAATACTTCCACTCAACCCGAATTCAAAATCATTGGTCATTACTACGCCATTTTCAACACTCTTGAACTTCGAAACGACAATAATCAAACCAAAGAGCTCCTCCTTTAGGATTTTCAAATATTGAGTAATATCGCAGACGATGGTTGGTCAGATACATCAACTATTGCTACAAAATATAGTTCATAATGGTATCAAACTGGTACTTGTTGAAAATTGCACCTTGAAAGTTGGATTCATGAAATGGAATACTTACTGTAATATTTGGTGTTTGATACTTGAAGGCAAACATCACTTTATCGTAAATACCTTCTTGGTCGTTAATTCTCGACCCTGTGGAACACATTTGACCCGAATATATAAATATATTATTAATCAGATTAGGACCAGTCTTTTCAAGGTTGGCATCATCAAATACAATATGAACATAATTACCACCTAATTCTAGCGCAATATACTTGTAAATTGAAAGTAGAAGAATTGACTGTAAGACCCTTACCACTGATCAGGACTCCAGCTTGTTTAGACGTATTGGTTAAACTAAAGCAGTCAAAGAAGTGGTAGATGATAGTTTCAATATGTAAATGGTACATATTGTCAAGGTAGCAGTAACCTTCCAGGTCAACACCATAGTTGCGAAGTTCCATATAATGATTTGGCCACAAATACCAATTACTTGTTTAAGGGTAAAGTTCATATAGCCATTACCATAATCGATAGTTCTACCATTGACCTTGTCAGCGTAGGAGAAAGCGTCTCTCAAACAATCGATCCTTAAATGGGTATCGCCTCTAGCAAGGGTATCTGATTTACCGTTACCTATAGTTTCAATAGAGTTCATTAACTCTACATTTTCCTCAATTAGACCATTCGGTCTGAGTAAAATTCGTAATCTCCCCTTCGGATCTTGGGTAGCCCAATTGGTATTCGAGGAAACATTCTGGTTTGATTGAACAGCATATTCAACGTCTTATTTGTAGCCTGGATAGGCAAAAGTAATAATTTCCGCTGTAGCTGGATTAGTAACTTTAACAGTCTTACCAGTAGACGACTGGATAAATTCATTATTGATAAATAAACCAGTTAATGGTTGGTACGTCAAGCCATTGTTAAAGTGATAGTAACTGATTGGGCTGGTTGATGGTCTGACGCGGACATTGTTTGTTTCTATTTAATTTATTGGGCGGTTTGTTTTGGGAGTATTTTGGGATAAATAAAAATGACTAACACAAATAGGGGTGTTTCTTTGCATATTGATTAGAGGTTGTCATATTTTACTAAAGAGTACTTATCAATTGGTAACTATTGTAATCTAACAAGATTCGATGATGTAAGAAGCATATTAGTAATCTCGAACGAATCTAGAATATTGACGAAACAATGAAATTGGAAACTAGCACAGAAAAAATAAAATCAACCTAAACAAGAACTGAGTACATAATATAACAGATGCAATGGTTCTTAATTAACAACATTCAGAATACTACCTAATAGTTTATCTTATCTTGGTATCAGGAAGTATTACTAGCCAACAAAAGGTTTCAAAAGTAAAGGGACGGTAAGTTCGGGCATAATGCCCAGAAATTTATCTTACGTTCGAACTTGCAAATGGGTCAATTTATATGGTTGGCAATGATATTCTATTATGTTTACTGTTGTTCCACCCGAAAGTTCGGGCTGGATATCCATAATTCAATGATTCCGTAACATAGACGCATAATTTGTTAATTGTTATCAGTTGAAAGGTGTATATTTCATTACCAACAATTAATGTAGGCAAATATGTCTTAATTTTATGTCTTAGCGTCTCAATTTGTATTGAATACGTCACATTAAAATGATCACATTCATTAAACCCAATACGATAAGCCAAACTATTATAACATGAAAGATAATTATAAGGGTATTAGTTCTTGTCAACCTTAACATGGTCATAATTAGTTTCCTGTTATGGCAAATTTTTTATTGATGTTCAAGGTTATTATTTTCCAAGTCTTCTTCCATTTGAAGAAGTTTCCTATCTATCCCATTCATATATGTGTCTCTCATTATTTTAAATAATTCATCAGTGATAATAGTACTATTCCTTTTGTATTATAATATATCATATCCATATTTGTTACTCGGTTTCGCAAATTCATCCTCTCCAAATTTTACTCAAAATATAACTGGTTAGGACAAATATTGTAAAACTTGAATTGACAACGTCAAATTATCTATAGGGTTCACTCTTAAGATATTCATGAACATTTAATAAATATTTGAACCATTTATATCCTCAAATTCAACAAATATCATTGGGGTATTTCATAAACTCTGGTTATCCGTTACCACTCCTCTGTTATATTCGGAACTACTAAGTTCCACTGGTTGGAAGAAAATAGCATCCACCTCCTTATATTTTGGCTCCTTAATAAATATTCCATTCCCATAATATGACATGTCTGCTATTGCATTTCTTAATTCAACTTCACCCTTTCCTTTATATTTAATGTAAGGTTTAGCTATCAAAAAATATACTTTTTTTCTTGATTAGTTCCTACAAGCGACAACAGCAGGGTGGTCTTATTGCCCCTTTGTATTTCCAATATTCATCATTTGTACCAGGGAGATGTGGTGACGTCTTTGAGCATATCTTGGGCTCTTCTTATTAACCTATTACGGTATTCGGTTAGTACTGGATAATATGATAGTGTCATTGACATATGGAGACCATATTTGTCTCCCTCATCCATGTCTATCTATTCTGTTGCAGCCATATTTGAGATATCCAGTTGAACATATTGTAATGATTGTTTGGTTGATTTTTTATTGGCATTTCAAAGTCTGTTATGTGACCCAGTTCCGCCGCCTTTATTTCAGGGACTAAAATTGTTTAATGCCGTCTCTTTATTTAAACCAAAAAATAAAATAAAAAATAAAATTTCGTGAAAATGAATAATATAGAAGAACAACATCCGATGAGATTTATGACCTTCGTAGTTTCATTTGATTTGTTTTATTGTTACTTTTAAGTCCACAAATACAGTCTTCATGATATTGTTCTATTTTGATAACTTTCTAGATGATGTTGTTTGCTTTAATTTAATAGTCGTTTAAATGCTTTCCCCTTTTTGGGGGGAATCTTCGAATCAAATGAAGCAGATTTATTAATGTACAGTATATCTTTATTTAGTTTCGCAAAAGAGATATTGAAGATAGTATGGGGGTAACTACTATACGATTCATTAGATGTGGAACATTGCAATTGTAAATAGTGGTGTTGATTATCAGTCCATACGATACTGAATAATATTTGCTAAGGGAACTAATACCTTTTTCCCATAAATATATTTATAGAGGAGTAGGTGACATCATAAAAATGTATAATACTAAATAATTAAAAAAAGGATTTAATTTCAGAAATATTTCGTTGATGCATTGTGTATATGAATTTGAAGCCAGGTTACTATTTCGCTCGCCATTATTTCAACAAATCATAAGTATACATTTCCATTATAAAGAATATCGTTTGAATGGTACATCATAATTGTAGGTGTTTTTTTGAGTGGGGGGGGGGGTACTAGTGTTTCACAATTATCATGTCTTGGCATTTAAACTCAGAATTAATTTCCACACATTTATCCCTATACCACATTTATTTATATATATGATGGATTTCAATTTTCAATTTTATATACGTACCGTACGATATATTATTTGTTAAAAATTTATAATTGCTATAAAATATTTTATTACAGTAAACAGTTACGTACTTTGTTTATCCATTAAAATAACTATATATACATTGTAACTTAATTACAATTATAGAAACTGAAACCACTCTATAGGAGACTAGAAAAGATTATTCATGAACTCCAGTTCCGCTAAATTCACGTTTTACATTAAATTCAATTTCTGTTTTATGATTAATTTTAATTATATTCCCCTCCTTAATAAGTCCTATCATGTAACAAATTTGGTATTCCAATATTTAGAGACTCATATCAGACGGAATGAAGTATATTAATGTACTAATTAGGCAAATTTGTTGATATGGTTGGATAATATTGGATTATTTCTAGCTGGGTGTTAGCATAGTTCCCTTGTATGTGATCTTGAAAAATAAAAGGTAGTGTTGTGAAAAACTTATATGAGAAGAATTCATAGAATTGATCTATATTTCTTGAGGATTTTCATTATTATTGTCAGACGTAGTTGGTTACTTTTTTTGAATGTTATTCGATATAGGTGTACAGACAGTATGTCTAAATCAGTGTGTTGTCTTTCTAAATGAAGGAATATAGGTCTGTATAGGAAACTAAACTGGTGTATTGTGTACGTGCAGGTACATTCAACGTTATTGTTGAATGCACATATATACATATAAATGTTCCGTACTGATGACGCATTTTGCTTAATACAACAGTTTATATTATGTTAGGCTCGGAATGTTTAAAATAGCCTATTTCTTCTTCAGTTCTCTATTATTACTTCTCAGCCCATCAACATATAGTTCTTAATGGAACTTACAATTTTCCGTACAAAATAGCCTTACTCTATGTTCCTACGGAACTGGTACTATGCATTATCAGGGAGGGTTCGATCTCTGGCACATTGCAGAGGCTTAAACAATTGTTTAAAGATAGAGACAGAAACAAATTTCAATAAAATAATAATATATTTCCAGAAACAAAAAATTTATTGAATTATAATTCTAGATATAAAGAGGTATATAAAAGAAGAGGCCAATATATAGTAATATTGGTCTCTTTTACGAACACTTACAAGTAAAAAAATATTACTTGGATTTTTGAGTTACTCTGAGTATATCGACTTTAAGTTTAACAAAATTGGATATACTGAGTGTCATTGGTAAAAAGTTACAAATTATTACATAAATAATGCGAATGCTAATGGCATGACAGAGAATAATAATCCTGTGGCATACTTACCGGCAGCATTTGGGGTATCTTGTACACGAAGAGAAGCGGATGAGGTAGCGCTACTAGATTGAATTTGGACCTTGGCCGAGGATTCAACAGTGTTGATGGTAGAAGTGACAGCTGGAGCCTTACTTTCTTTACCAGTAGCCTTTGCTGCATCAATTACCTCGGTACGAGTAATTGTAGATACGGATACATCACCATTAGTACATGTGTAAGTTGTAACAGTAACTACAGTTTGAGTACTCTTTTCATTATTGTTTTCTACACCAGCTGAGGCTGTGGAACATTTGACAGTGGTAGTTCTGGTTATACCATTGACATCAGTATAGGTAGAAGTTGTCATGGAACCTTCGTCTGAGGCTGTGGAACATTTGACAGTGGTAGTTCTAGTTATACCATTAACATCAGTGTAAGTAGATGTAGTCATAGAATCATTGTTAGAAGAATCTCTTGATTCAGCATCTTCGCCAGCAGCAGAGGTGGAGTGTACTGAACTAGATAGGGCACTAGCAGCATTAGAGCTACCTGTGACACTTTCAGTAGAGACAGAAATTGACAAAGAATTTGAAATATCTTGACTAGAGGTAGAAGAAACTAAGTCGTCTGTAGAAACACTTGAGATTTCAGAGGCAATTTCAGAAGATTGAGCAGTTGATTGCTTGGATGATGCAGGGACAGAAGATTGGACGGATGATTCAATTGAAGCAGCAGAGGCAGGGGCAACGGCAGATGACTCCAAAGATGAAGCAACAGAAGAAGTAGCAGATAGTACGACAGAGGAAGATTCAGATACAGACGAAGAGGTAATGACTTCGGAAGAACTGGAAGCAATAGCGGAACTAGATGCAGCAGCTGGGGTCATGATATAGTAAACTGTTTCGACATCTGTGTATGATTCATCAACAAACTCACCCAATGTTTCAAATGTAACAACAGCAGTTGAATAAGTAGTGTTATATGAAACGGTACCTTGAGTGTAAGTTGTAGTTTCTGAACTTTTAACACCACATTGAGAGTCCTCGACACTGCCGTGAATGTATCCATCGAAGTTGGTAACAACCTCACCAGATGGTAAAGTCATAGAAGGTTTGAAAACAGCATCACCACCATGGTTTGTGTAAGCATACACAATCACGTAGCCAAGACCAGCCTCTAGGCTAACAGTCATTGAGCTAGTTTGGTAATCAGCGTCTTCTGGAATGTAACAAAAGTTTGAAGATTCGTCTAACCATCCGGCTAAGTCCATGTCATCACAACAGTACATAGCACGGTTGTCATAGATAAAAAAAGAAGCACCATCACTGACACCATCAAGGGAGAAAATGTAGTCACCAGTGGTTGGTGGTACCAAAAATGCCTTGTAAACAGAAATAAAGTTAGATACAGTAACATTGTCACTCAATTCAGGATATAGAACACCACTAACAGATTCGTCAGAGTCAGTGACACTAATATCGAAACCGATATCGTAAGTTGTTAGAGCAGTAGTGGCACTACCAGGAGAAACTAGCTTAATAACATAGTTATGTAATGTACCAGGTATATTATCTAGAGTTGAATGTAATGGAGTCTTATGAAGGGCCATCAAAAAACTTGAATCAGAATACTGAGTAGGTGTGTAAGCAGCACATTGGTCGGCAGACACCATTCTAATGGTGTTAGCCAAGAACAGGAAACCAGAGAAAATCGCTGTTAATTTCATTTTTTCTTGTTTTATTCCTTTATCAAAAAAGTAAGTATATTTTGATCTTGGTAATATACTCTTGTATATGAATTTTGGAAATAATATAATTAGAGAACTATTTATGAAGTGATAAATCTTTTCAATTTTGGGAAAGACACTACGCTTTATATATTACTCAGAAATAGAGACTTCATTTCTGGATTTAGAAACTCGTTTACAGGCAATAGTTCTTATTCCAGTGGGTAACAATTCAGGCACCCCTGTACAGAAATATGAAAACATCCGGTTTTTCTTCAAAAATGTCCTATTTGGGTTAGTGTTCTTGCCTATTTTGTAGCGCTGTGTACGACAGTTACGCCAATTTTAGTAACTCACTGTGTAAATCAGGATATACATATTATCTCATCACAGAAACAAATCGAGTTTCTGGCTGTATTGAAATCCTTAAACGAATCTTCTTACTAATCTTTGACGTCGTTCCTGCCTGATTCCTGTGTCAATCTTCTCCCGATCTTGGTTCCATTTGTGGGAATGTCATCCACACGGAAAAGACGTGGAGATGACAGAGAGATTACGATGAGTTCAAATAAACAGGAAATCGACGCGTTTGTTTCAAAAAGGAAAAGAAAAAAAAGAAAAATATGTTCAAAAATGGAAGATATTATGTTCCGTGGAACGAAATGACAAGTAACATTCCTCACGAAGGATGTGTAAATAATAGGAGCCTGAAGACATTTGAATATACTATTTTCTATCACTACGATTACTACTGTGCTCCTATTTTCAGGTGATTCCATGGCGATTCAACGGCGACTTTCTTTTTCTTCAGTGTTCACTCGAGGTGTAAACTATTCGGAGGGCCTGAATTGAGTTCAACCAGGATTAGTAGGCAAATTAAACGAGTTCCAGATAATCGGTGATTTTGAGTTTAATGATGCTCGTAATATGGATACAAGAAATTGTAATAACTGTTCAGAGCTTGTGTCTTTTGCAGACAACAGATGCTCGGCATTTTTTTTCTTGTTCCTTCAGGATTTCTCGCATCCAATATTAGAAGGAGCTGGGGAAAAAGAAAAATATATGTAAAGCGTTAGTCAAAGTAAACGAGTTCGAGAGAATCGGTTGTAGTAACACCAATGTAAGAAAAAAGTCACTCGATTAGATTGCATAGGTAAATATGTACAAAAAATAGTTGTATTCCATTTCAATATTCTAATTGCGAAGAAAATAGAGGGAAAATGATATTCATTGATATCATTTGCATCTATTTATTCAATCATTTCTGCTTTGTTATTATTAAATAGAACGATTACATAAGAGGCGTGCGTAAAAATATATTTACAGTGCCTCCTTAGAAGAAAAAGAAAAAACAGTAATTTACAATTATTATTTGTGTTGATGTAGATTCGTGTTTCCTCTTGTATTTGTTTGTTTATATTTCTTATGACAAAAAAATTCCAAAGCGTACTGTTAAAATATGGAAGGTCATTACTGAAGGATTAAATTCAACTAACTTATTTACTAAGATAAATAAAGTATTTCGTAAAAAATTCGTAAAAGACTTAAAGAAGACATTATAATTCAAATAAAATAAAAGAAACCATAGGAGATATATCATAATTTGATATATCTCCTATATTTAAGTATGTCTATAAACGGATATATTCGGCATACCAATAACTACGAAACTAGTCTGCTGGTAACGACTTTACTAACTTTCAAGAAAACAGGCATGGAGAACGCAATTGCTATAAATTTTTCTGTTTATTTCAAACAAACAGAAATAAATGTTATACATATGGGGAGAAAGGTGGTCATATTTTTCTGTTGGAAGAGTAAACACAAAGTTCTCAAAACAATAAACAATAAAATCATAAAAATATTGATGGCTAGTTTTGGTAAATTATATTTAGAGTCTTCAATAGCAAAAAAAATTAGTAACTTTTAACATTAATAATTTGATTTGCAATGGCAGTTTCGCTATCCATAAGAAGCCTTTTCTTTTTGAACACTTAATTGTTGTTTATCAACATTATCAAACAATAATAAAATCTTATAGGCTTTTTTTTTCTATCTATATATGGAAAATTAGTACCAACACTCTTTTTAAAAGAGGGATGGTCATGTTATTAATTTTATCGACAATAATATACCCTAAATGAGCTTATTGAAATGAAAATAATTATTGTTCATCAGATCTCTTAAATAATCTATCTAAAGTCATCGAAAGATCAAATATGAATATCTGGAATTAAAATTAATTCTTCTAGTTAAAATTTCTTGATCTCTTCCAAAATTAAAACTGTATCCAAAAATAGACTTGGCTTTAGTAGCCAAGTCTTTAATACCTCTTTTACGCTATAAATCCTCGATCTCCCTATCTAAAAACATTTTCGTCTCCGTGATCATGAGATGATCATTTAATCAATAAACGTCAGTTATTAAAAACTAATGTGCTGTCCAATATAGTATTGTAAATCTTAATCATCGAAATCGTTGAAGTCACAAAGTTACAGACCTTTCTTAACATCATTATTAGTTTTCTAAATTATCAAGTAAATATTTATTATTGTTGTTATTGTTGGTTACTACGAAGTTTCTCGTTGTAGTCATGATGCTTTATCCTAACTCCCTAGTTCAAGCTAGATGATACGACAACACACCAATATATTGTCTTCCATCAATTTTGATTTTTGAAAGATCAACAGATGGAAATTCAATATTTTCTTGAGCCACGAAGACATGACGAAACGGAGGAAGTGGATCCGGAAGCGGAAGAATCTACCCCAGTAATGCAACCTCTTCTCGTCATGGGAATAACGTCCCACTACAGACACCTTCCAAGGATATAATATTATTATTTATTTATTTTTACTTCCACAATTTACAGTTCCTGATAGATAAACTAAATTGCACCTGCTCAGCTACTCATTTCATAAAGAGCTCCCATATATCTAATGTATTCTATGTTTCGAAGCCATCTTTATATGGGTACTCTGCCAAAACAATTATCACTTCGGTTATCGACTTTACTATATAGTTTTCAATCATATTCGCATATATGCCTTTAAAATATATTTGTATTTCGATCTATCATAATATTACTATTTCAACTGTGATAGATTTTTTGAAACCTATTAGAGATTCAAACGAAATCACCAATGTAACAATGAAAGTGAACAGACTTCCAATGTATTTATAGCAACAAAGTAAATTGAACGTTTTATTGTGAATAGGGTTAATAACTTCGACAGAGTTTACTACTCGCATATGCATCAAACACCTCAATTTCAGATGGTCAATACCTAGTAATACAATATGAAATAGGGACATTTCAAAAAACAACACATAGTAAATTAACCAGATACTGCTGGCTTTAAGTATATCTCATAAGAGTAATAATATTACAGTCAATCCATTATTATTGTGTATTTTCTACTTAACTTTAAGGTAATCGTTTGCAAGATTTCCTGTTATGCTCACAAGTTTCCAGTATTTCCTGTTCAAATACGGATCTCTCAATATATCAGATAATTGATCAGTTACCATTTTACAATTTGTTTTCAATTCCAATGTGTCAAATCCATTTATTTTTAACTCATATTTGGGGTTAGGCCAAAATAAAACTGGTTGGGGCATGTAATCCAGAAATTCAATTGATTAAATTGAATTATCTAGAGGATTTTCAGTTAATATTTCTATAAAATAATCATTTATTTTAGATCTTTCTGCCTCCTTAGATCCAATAACTATCCTAGGGATATTCTAAAATTATTGGCGATATATCTGAATATAATTCTGAACTTTCTATTTAACTGGATACAATGCCTGATACTGATAATTCTAGATCGGATATTGAATTTAAAGTAGTACTAAATAGGCCATCTAAACTATTCGATGATTTTAATACAAAACTGGAGGTTAACTCTGAATTAAATACCGAAATAGATTGCAGACTTGGCAATGGTTCAAAACGTTTGTGACACTGGGAACTACACTAGAAGGTATTTCAGAACTTTTACTTAAACTATATGTACTACTGGATGAAAATAACTCACTTTAGGAAGAGCTTTCGGTGGTAAAAAAGAATATTAGCGTAGTATATTGTTTTGTACTCCTCCATCTCCAAATCATTTGCTGTAATTGTAACATAAACGGTAAAAAATGGTGTTCCAGAGAGAGTACTGGCTACCCCTTCTATTTCTAACTCTTCAAAACAATATGAATCATAATCTGAATCTTACACAATACCGGGTAGATATGTAAACAATTCACTATTGGGATCAACGACAGTCATATTTAACCTAGCACTACCTGCGCTGTTTACAAATGTCGTTCCAATTGGTACAGGAGCTATTGCATTGTGGTAAAGTGTCATCTTACTAGTATCATCAGGAGAACCTGTATATCCAACTATATTAAAATATTCTTTGTAAAATTCCTATTATCCATTCAATTGATACTATGGAAATAATAATATCTCACATAAGGTACTAAAATAACATTGCCGTTTTATCGGCACTAATCTCAAAAGTATGATACTAACCTACCTTTGCATGAAACGCAGAAGACAATTGGAATATAACATTCCAGACGTTTGTATTTTGATAGAAAACTGTCCCTAAATTATTAGAAACCTCATTTGAAACATCCACCTAGAAGTTTAAATATGTTATGTCTTCAATGCACTTACTGGGACTACTTGGATTATACCATATTAAATACTAGAGAAGGTAATCATAAGTGTTTATCAATTCGATTCGTTTATACTTTTCTACAATGAAGCCGTTAAATCTGGAAGTATAAATGTCATTCAAACTGCAACTATTAAAGTTTCCTTCCTTTATATGTCGAAATCCTGATAGGTTAATAACATCAAAATAACCAAAGGAGGAAAAAATATTCTCAATTTGATGGAAACCTGTGTTTGAATTAGAAATTGTTTGTTCATGCTTTTCGATATGTAACTGACAATTATATTTTTACATAGTTTATATAACGTTAAACAATTATTATTCTTTATATACACTACTCCATCTTTAATTTTCATCTCATTTTGACAATGTACATCATCTTTTATTATGATAATACTCCGTAATGACGCAAAATAATAAATGTGCATTTATTTTAACTTATATTTCAAAACAGGTGATGAATCAGACGTCTATGTACTTTCGTATAAAGAGTTTGGATCACTATTATTGGTGTGTTTTCTTCTCCTGTAAATTACTTGTAATACATAAGGTTGTTCTTGGCTTTATTTTTGTTTGGTATCTTACAACGGAAAGGTGAGATAGATTATGTTTGATATGGAACTCCATTTTATATAGGAGTGTTCTCTATCGTTGGTAAATTATGTGTGTATAACAGTTCATTTAGACGTGCCCCTCCCATTTCCTCTGGATGGCTATTCTACCGTATCTAATGTGCTACTCAACACCTCATGTCAGAAAATGGAACCTGATAGGTTGCTTAAATACGATGATACTGTATCGGTTATTATACATGAAGCAGTTATCTGCGTGGGGCTTGCAATGTTCATTGCACCACACGTTCGATTGAGAAAATCTTCGTCGTACATCTCTTTTTGAGTGAGATGCTTCCCAAGATGTTCTTCACGATGAGGATTCTATTAACGTGGAATAAAGTGTCAGAATACCCGATGACATTCACTGATCTTACTCACAATATAATTTTAAGTGTAGATGATATCATTAATGAGTAAAATGAAGATAACACTTAACGGACACCCAACTTACTAATTTTGATTAAGTTAATGCGCTAACCTTGTTACAGTGGACTCTTTATTTTGGGTGAGAGAATTAGTCGTACAAACATGTCGGCGAACTTGGGCTTTAGGAAACCCAGCACAGAGTCAGTTGATAGCTCACGGCGATCGCTCATTTCCTTATTTGGGTCCTAAGTAGAGGCAGGCAGGCATATGTTTCCATTTTGGGACACTGAAATATAAGAGGGATGTTCTTGCTGGAACCGAGATGCCTGGGTAGAAACTATTCTTGGGAACAGTTACAGTAGGACAAATTGTCCCCTTATCAAAGAAGAGAATCACTGAACAATGTAACGTTTTGTTTCAATAAGAATCTGATTGGATAGAGGGAAAGTCGAAGTAATATCAGTACTTAAGGCAACTGGTTTCCAATAGTGTTTTGTAATAAAGATCCAATGGATACCTCTTATTTTGGATCAAAACAAAGGGTACCCCTATACCACTTAAGTAATAAGAAAATATACATATAATTAAAAATAATTGATTAAAGTTTTTTATACTAATATAATAAGAACTATTAAAAAAAGACATTATCTAAGTATGTTTATGTTAATATTATTTGTAAAAATATTAAAATATTAGTGAAATCAGGAAGGTTGTTAAGAATGTGAAAATATTAGTCTTGATATTTGAACCCATGTTTAGGTTTTCCAATACAATATGGCTTGTGGCAGTGCCTGATGTTGATTGGCTTGACACAAGTGTAACTGTAGGTTTTGTTACAATACTATCCTCAGCATTGTAGGCTGAGGATATAACCTTTACAGTTGTGATTTCATTAGTAGCCAACGATTCTCTGGTGTTCAAAGAAGTAGTTGAACAACTTTCACTACAGTCATCAATTACTTGAGTCGATTTCTCCACTGAAGGGTTATTAGTTGTGTGGCAAACATTATTTGGACAACTTGTAATGATAACTGAAGTGGTTATCTCAGTTGTATAAGTAGATGTAAAGTATTCCAAAGACGAAGTTGATTGGCCAGGCACCAAAGTAGGTGTTGAACATAAAGTTGTTACTGTTGTTGCGATAACAGAAGTTTTTGTAATATATTCGGTGGATTGAATAATATCATCACCTTTTGTAGAAGCATAATCTGTGGAGCCACCACTAGGGAAGCTGTTCGAGGAAATGCCTGTTTCCGAAGAAAACATTATTGGACTACTTGTAGATGAAGATGAAAGATGGTGAGACTCGGAATCAGATGTTGAAATTTGGTCAGATGACAAAGAGATATGGGTTGATGCCCCATTGTCTGAAACAGAGGTTGAAATGTCACTAGATGTATCTGGTTCAAAGGATGTGGACATTTCAGACAGAGAGTCGAGAGTTGAAGAAAAAGAAGATAGTGGTTCATTACTACTAGATGAAGGTAAATCTGACGTGGCAACAGATGATTCGGAGACAAAATCAGAGGTCAAAGTTGCACTTGATGATAATTCCATAGAAGAAGATGCAACGGAAGTTATTACGGTTGAAGATTCAACTTCGGAGGTAGCGACACTTGAGGATTCAACTTCGGAGGTAGCGACACTTGAGGATTCAACTTCGGAGGTAGTAGCACTTGAAAACGAAGGTTCGGAGCTTATATTTGTCGATGATTCGGCTTGTGATTCGGTTTCTGAGGAAACAACAGTAGAAGACTCTGGTTCTGAAGAAGTAATACTAGAAGTTGCGACAGTTGATGAAATTTCCATTGCGGAAGAAGAAACACTGCTTGACGCATATGCTGGAGTTTGCACAATATACAAAGATTCGATAACTCTTTCACCATCAGCATTTGTAGAAGTTGCATATTGAAGAGACGTTTGCGTAGTAGAACCCTCCCATTCGACTATCGTAGTGGTGGTGACATTAATGTACGAACAATAATCTTGTTTTGCCCCTGTAACCATATGTAAAAACTGGTCAATATCATTGTATTTAACTCCGTCTGGATCTGTCATAGTTATTTGCAATGAAGCATCGGCACCATTGGTATTTAAATACAATACGGCCAGAGTATAACGGAAGCCAGCATCGAGTAAGACGGAGTCTTCTAGTTTGTTATTTTCCGGTTCCGATTGAAGATCTGCAACATAAAAAGATAGATTTCGTTTAGGAGGTGGATAGTTTTCACAACAGTATGTATCCATTGAGACCTCTAGAGCCATCAATGCACCTTCGGATGCAGCTATGTTAAAAGTATAGTATCCAGTTTTGGGTACTACTAAAGTGGAGGAAACACCAAAGGTAAAATTCGAAATTGTCGTGTTTCGTCCGTATACGTCTCCGTAAACTACGGTATTGGGGTCACCTCCTGTGGTTGCTTCAAAGTTTATTGTGGAGGTATATTTATTCACACCACCATATAGAGTAAAACCAGTTAAATATTCCCATTTTGTCTGATCTTTCCCAGGAGCTTTGTTATCCAAATCACAGTTAGCAAAAGTTATCATAGACATTCCTGTAGATCCCAATCCTAAATAATCCTCATCATACTCGAATTGAGGTACGGAACATTTTGGATAAGTGTTTTCCTGGGATCGAACGATTGTAAATAAGAAAGTTGTTATTAATGTTAAAAGTAAGTTGTTCATAGTTGTTTTGTTTAGTTTAGTTTTACTTTATGTTACTTAGACTGAATTTTTTATTATAGATGTTTTAAAAATAACCTCTTAGGAATTGCAGTTCTTTTAATTGCATAACTCGAGAAACATCTGGCTATATATATACCTCAGAGATATTAGAATATTTTGAATAAATTGAATAATCCTCCTTTATCAAATTAGAACAGTTCTGGATATAGAGTTTTAGACAATTGCGATTTGTTAATTCTTTTTTTAAGGGTATACTCGGTTTGTACGTAAATCCTGTATCAATTAAAGGTGATGAATAGTAAACTGTTTAGAATATTTATTATTGTTGAGATTTTCTAATTCATGAGGGGTCTTCCCGTGGAAAGCAGTGTGAAATAATAAGGAACAAAAAAACCAGCCACACTCTCGTAGGGGAGAGAACCTTATAGACGATCAAGAGATGTCTATATACCCATCAGTTGTTGAAATATTGTTTTTTGGATTATTCTGACTACCTTTCTTTTTCTTTTGGGTTAGTTAGCATCTCTATGAATTTCACTGAGAACTCTTAATGGTTCACGTTTAACTCAGTATGACTTTCATCAGACAAGTTACTGAGATCCCAAGCGGTAGTCAGAAGTATGGAAAAGAACGGAGAAGATTTGGATGAAATTTAGTTTCCTTATATTATCCAAAAAGTTTAATATCGGGTTCGATATAATGTAATTGGCTAAGCAAAGTGTTCACCCTCAAAAATAAAAAGAGAGAGGCATTTCCTGCAACTGCATTTTTAATTTCTCGTCTGGTGGTCCCAGAAGTAACTGCTTAGTTCAGCTTACGTTTACTAGTTTTTTCTTTTTACGGAGATCCACGGAAAGTAATGACGATCGAAACTCAAATAAAAATAAAGCACAGACTGTAGTGCAGGGAGCAACCTCTTCTCTAAAAAAATATTGGCTGAACAATTCGAATGCCGATCGTTTGGAATGCAGAGGGTAAGTAAATCACCCCCTCTCCTCCCCATCCTTTTTGATAAAGGTTCACATTGGGTCGATTTTTTGCATAGTTTTATTCTTTATTGGGAAGATGAAAATTGGCAATGGTATGTTTGTTCTATCTACAAAGTCAGATACAGAAGAGGAATAGTACAGATTGTGTACCAGTATTTTTTCAAGATCTCTTTTATCAGATATATACCATTAGAATACTTATAGATATGTATCCCGATGGACCGATCGGGATTGGAAAATTCTTTAAATTTACTGTCTCGATTTATTTTACTACGGAAAGTCCTGTTTTTTGGTAATCTAGCAAACGACGATAATATTATATTGTCGACAAAGACTTTTTTAATGGTAGATTATAGTCCAAGGATAGGTGCCTTGCCTCTTGGAAAAAGGGAAAAATGATTAGTTAGAAAGAAACAGTTGAGCATCTAGTTAGTATGATGATGTACTTTATGCTTGTGAAATAAAATATCTTCGGCCTTACAATTGTTGTTTGGTGCATGGTTTTCTAGATGAGACTGTTGGTTCCATATTATGTATTAAGTCTTATAAAAATAAAATAAAAAATCGTTCTTTAGTAAGTCCTGCAGAAATTCTAAATTTGATGTCGAAGAGAGAGAAAGACGAAATTGAACGAAAAACGCCTGCGCACCCTCGTGCTAGTGCCGCTCTGTTGACATACATAGTGTAAGATCATCCCACAATGTGGAAAATCAGGTATCTTTGAGGGTGAGATGTCGACGAGCTCGAGACAAATTAAAGAAGATTAGAGTTGAGTAGTACATAAAACAGTAGGGACCATCTTATAAATATCTAAATAATATGTAATAACAACCAGTGTAGTTATAATCACAACACAGAATGATGTATACAATCTATACCCATTGGTATATAGACAAGCTGCATTTGGAGAACAACATGTCTTCCTATAATAAGTAATCTTTCCAACAGACAAGTCAGGCAAGTCTGACAATTCTTCAGCAGCGTTGAACTAATCTCAAAAGAAAGGCGCAAACAACCGAAATCTCAACATATATAATATAAGGGGGGTCAATACAACGCATAATTTAATCGGAACAACAATGTATTGAACTTAAAATACATATTCAAAACAGCTCCTTTGTTATATAAAGAATATAACGCGAAGGTAGAGGAGGAAAAAGAGCAGAATGGTTCTCATCAGTTAATATAATGAAGCTATGAGGTCTCAAAATGTAGTCCTCAGGTATGATATGATGATAAGACCTCTAGACTATTTATTTGTATAAGAATGTGTTGATATTTAAAACTCTTAGGTAACAAATAGAACCGAGTTTCTAAAAGGTCTACAGTAAGTTACTTCGACTGTCTATGCTTGCTTAATTCTCCAGAATATATTTCTTGAACAAATTATTTAGATAAACTAAAAATACTAGAAACTGATATTTTAATATGAAAATGTTTTTCAAAGTTTGCAGTAAATATCCAAAAACCCATAATTATTGGTGAAATTCATTTAAAGGGAAGGTTCGCGTTTAAACCGAGCAATGTTAGAATGGTGAGCAGGTATGCTGTCGGGATGGATACCTTGTTCACATTGGCATACAGCTGTGTGATAACGCGAGGGATCTTTTCTTTCTCTCTTTTCTGAATGAAGGCAATTTTCGATTCCAATGAAAACTCTTGGACAATTTCATCAAGTGGTTCATTATTTTCGTTAATATCAGGAATAATATATATACCTGATAAGGAAAATGGAATTTATATTACAAACTCAAAGACTAGATTGTGTTTATATCTTTTTTTTTATTTTTTTTTATCAAACAGCTCTGTTTTAGAATGGGTAAAAACCTCTACTAAATATAATTGAATTCATTTTCTTCTTATCCGATATGGTAAATTTTTATTTGATCTCAGCATATATTCATGTTCAATATAATTTCTTCCCATTTTGCTTGCTTGGCTTAGCAACCTTTTTTATGGGTTATCTAATTGTTAATAATATTTAGTTCGATACTCATACAATATCAGAATTGAAACTAATCTTTATATTATTAATTAAGGTTAATTACTGCGCTGCCTGACACATAATGCTATAAAGTTAAATATATTTAGTCTCGTGTACGAGGACGGTAATGGATAAAATTATATCTAACAAATATTCCCCTGAAATTAACAATTCAACAGAAGTAAAATTTTGGTAGGTCATGTACAGTTTCTGTCAGAAATTAAGAGTAATATGTATCTCACTTTTTTTTGCCTAATCTTACATTTAATCTTTTTAATAGTTTACTTTTAATAGGTTACGTCACCTCATTGAACAAGGGATTTTCATTAAAGGTGCACCAAAAAACATTTAAATAATTTATATTTATATAGGGTTAAATAAATGGCGTCAGTTCTGATATCTATTATTTGTGAAGTAAAATTTCACATCAATAGTTTAAATAAGTGTTGGTACTGTATATATAAGTTTGTTGTTCTTTTATTGAATTTTGGAAATGTAAAACGGGAAAGAAGAAACAGCTTGTCACTTAACACATAATTCTTTACCTTGTTATTATCTGATCATAGGATCTTTGATTTGTAATTTTATATGACCTTTTTCTGTATTTTCGATGACTGTCACATGAGTAAGATCTTCAACCACGTAGTCTGCACCTGCAGCAAACAAGACTTCTTTGCTATAAGAAGAAGTGATTCCAATAGTCACAGCATTCATTGCCTTTCCCGCCTTAATTCCAACTGGAGCATCTTCAAAGACTACAGATTTACAAGGACTCTTATAGTTCCAAGTCTTGCTCAATAATTCTCTTGCAGCTGTATAACCTTCAGGGTCAGGTTTCCCAACTGAGACATTTTCAGCAGTGATAAAAACATCAGGTTTCCCAATATCCTTTAAGATAGTGGAGAACCAAGATGTAGCCATATATGGTGAACCCGAGGTGACAATAGCCCATTTTCTTTTATGTTCTTGTTTGAAATTAACTGATTTATCCTGAGGATCTCTGTCCAATGCCAGTAATAATTCTCGGGCACCAGCAATGACACCTATAGTATCAAGATAATTATCAGCAATGTCAGCCTCTAATAGATGAACACCTTTATTGTCTGTATTATCAATATTTGGGAAAAATTGAGCCAAAACCTCTACTGTCCTTGTACCATGTGAGATTTTAAACAATTCCTGTGGATCGACATTGTGTTGTTTACAAAGTTTTGTCCAAGCTTCTTCAGCAGCGACGATTGTAGTGATGATAGTACCATCTAAATCAAACAGACAGACATCCGTCTCAATAGTGTAAGCAGTCATTTGTAAAGAGTATATGCAGAAACTGATATTGTTTTGTTATTTTTACTATATAAATATATATGAACAAATGGAGAAAGTACCCAAGAACGCTCAGATTAGGACGAGTTCAGAAATCAGTTACTTTGCTTATATATATATATGCAAATATTGAAAAGACAATAGGAACAGTCGCTTGAGAATACTACATAACCTGATATAGGCATACTACATACGACACATGAGCATGTGAAAGATATCATATAGTCACTACTCATAACAATACCTCGTTCCAGAGACACTATTGACCTTCACATGTCAGCTTTTATAACTACATTACATAACCTGGTACCTCTCAGGCCCATCTGACAAGGCCTTCTGCTATTTTCTCCTGTTGTCTGCACATGTCGACAATGTGGGACAGCAGTCATCCCACGTCGACAAGTCCCAGCCAATGGGGTCTCTGAATGTGAAATAAAAACGAGTAATTTCGATGATTTTTGTTTTTTTGGTGCAAAGACAGCGATTGACGGTGCAGGACGAGGCGGACTTGCCAGTAGCAGCTAAACAGCAACCTAACTGCTGAAGCTGTTGCTGATGCCGTGCAACACGATCTTACGTTAATGAGTTAGAGATAGTGGTAACAGTGACATGATGTAGCTTTCCCAATTTTATATCCATTACAGGTGGTTGTCATTGAACTGGAACTTCGACCACTTCCAGAAGTCTCGTTCTAGCATCTCAATATTTTCTTGACTGTCACTGCCTTATAATGTTAGTCCTCGGCTCATTTTAGTGGACGGAACGATTCACGATATTTTTGGTTTCTCTCGAGGAAATTTTCACGATTTCGCGCCTGGTGAAATTTATTCTGGACATTTTCGTTTTGCCAATGGTGACAAGAACAAAACAAGAAAGTAAATATAGATTATAAGCTTGTTTGATAAGCAAGCCGTATGTTGTTTTCTAAATAAATAAATAAAAGGGTGATTCAGTAAGAAGAAGATCTTACATCTGTTTGGTTAGGTTCAATTGATTAATCTGTGGACTGGTTTTCTTAGTAATAAGAGAGAAATCCTTATTATAATATATATTTAACTTATTTTTTGAAATTTTGTTCGAAATACGTGTTTTGGTTACAGCCAATTAGAAAAGAAAACATTATTTGATAAATAGACTAATAACCAAGAAAAAAAAGATTCAAGGTTTGATTTTGTGTCAATACGTTAATACATCCTGATATAGACAATTAGTTTTTCAGAGATACAATGCAGAGTCAGGTGTCCTTGAGACAACCTTACCTCGAACCGAATAATATAAATACTCATTCTCAGGGAGATACTTCCTTACTAGGATCTAGATCTACATTATTACAATCAAAGAATTGTTCTAGATGTGGAGAACCAATCTTTACGCAGCAACAACCTAGTACAAATAATAATAATAATAATAATAATAATAATAGTAATAATAATAATAATAATAATGATGATGGTGATGATGATGATGATGATGAAAACGGTAGAGTAACCTCTAAACACAGTAAAAGCAATTTGAAAGCTCTTGGGAAATATTATCATGAGGATTGTTTTGTATGTCAGGATTGTTCAAAACCTTTGAAGCCAAAGTTTTTCCCGTTTAAGACTAATGATACTGATGAACCTATCCTGTTATGTCAATATGATTATTTTAGAAGACATGATTTACTTTGTAAAGTATGTGATAAACCATTAAGAGGATTATATTATACTGCATTTGGTGGTAGATACGATGAAGAACATTTTTCATGTACTATTTGTAAGACCCCCTGTGGTGTGAAAAAATGTTTTATTCACGATGATAAATTATACTGTAAATACCATTTTTTGAAATTTTTTTCAAAACGTTGTAAAGGTTGTAAATTCCCAATTTCAGATCAATATATTGAATTCCCTCGTGGTGACGAAGTCCATTGTTGGCATCCAGAATGTTATGGGATTCATAAATATTGGCACGTAAATTTATCGGCAGAATCTCTAGGTTTACCTTTATTACAAAGATTACCTTATAATACAGAAGATCCTATAAGAGATGTTAATCCGACTCCACCAGAATTAGAGAAACAAATGCAGGCGTTTAGTTTCATCTTATCCAAGATTTGGTCTGTTCTCTATAGGTTTGAAGAAGAAACCGCGTCGTGTATCTCAGATATGTTTCAATATCTTTCAAGTTTTGATCAATTGAAGGGTATAGACTCGGCGGCTTTGTTTGTGTTGAAGATTGAATGTCTATTTAAAGCATTGGACAATTTTAATACATTTAATAATTCTTTACCTGGTGATAACCTTCAAAATATAATAGATGGTGTTGACTCTGATAAATCAAAGGACTTACAAACTATTAATGTGAAATATGAGAAATTTCCAAGAAATTTGACTACAAAAATTATGATATATCTACAATTGTTAAGGAAATTAAATGTAGATTCATATGATAAAGACGCCACTTTATCCTCATTCATGTCAGTGATCACAGGGTTGGCCCATTTTTTGAAATTATTAACCAGATATGGTCTTTTCTCTGCATTGGATTCTAATAAGAATACTCATTCAGTGTCAACACTATTAAAATTTTTACGAGAAGTTGAAAAAAATGAAACTATTACAGAAAATCCTTTCTCTAATATTAATATCTCTTTAGAGGCTACAGATGATTGTGTTGCTTGTAAGAAATATATTCAAGAACAATGTATTAAATTCCAAGATTTTAGATGGCATTTGAATTGTTTCGTTTGTTCGAAATGTTCAAAGAAAATTGAAATATCTGATATCGATGAATCTACGTTCAAGAAATCAAGTATGCAAATATTTTGCCCTACTTGTTCTGCTAATGAACCCGAATCAGTACCAGGTTTTAAATTTATCACCAAATTGGCTCAATTGATCTTCCTATTAAAGATTGCTTTAGTTCGTTCGAAAGCTGTGATGAGAGCACAATTAATGGGTCAAACTGCTGCAGCCAGTAACTCTCAGCGTATAAAGACAGTGACTATGCAACAGACATATATTAGGACCTTAAACGATATTAAAAGACTTCGTTCAAGAAGGGAAAGTATTAGAGTCAATCATGATAAACAAGGGGTTCGTAGATCGGTTATTTTAGAGACACCCGAAGAAGATTTGGATAAATCTATTACAAATAATTCAAAGAAAAGTTTGATTATTCATACAGATGATAATCAAAAATATTCTAGACATCCATCGTCACATGAAAACGTTTTTTCAAATACAAAGACTTTAACTTTAGATGATATTTCTAGAATTGTAGCTGCTGAGCAAGCTAGAGAATTAAGACCAAACGCTTTTACACATTTCAAAACTTTAAAGGAAACTGAAGATGAAACTAATATACAAAAGAAGAGTGGGTTATATTATTCTGAATTGGATGAAAACGATTTGAGATTGATTTCCATTATCAGCTGCAGTTTATTAAAATCCAACAACGTATTAAAAGTTAATCCTTCTAGCTTAATCAAATTGATTCCTGCTATTAAGAACACAAAACCTCAACAATCAAGTAATTTCTGGAGTAAAATGAAGAAAAAGATGAATAAAGAACCCAAGACTGTCACACCTAATAAAGTATTTGGTATCTCCTTAGATATTGTATGTGATAAATGGGGTACAGATTCTGATTTAGCTGTCGGTCCAACAAAGATTAGGATTCCGATTGTTATAGACGAACTTATCTCATCATTACGTCAAATGGATATGTCTGTAGAAGGTATTTTCCGTAAAAATGGTAATATTCGACGTTTAAGGGAATTATCCACTCAAATTGATGGTAACCCCTCCGAAGTACCTGATTTATCAAAAGAGAATGCAATTCAATTATCGGCTCTTCTTAAGAAATTTTTCAGAGAATTACCAGATCCTATCCTTACAAACACTTTGTACAAATTATGGATTATGACTGCAGAGATGGAAGATACAACAGAGAAACAGAAATTTTATTGTTTGGTTTATTCTTTACTTCCATTGTACAACAGAAACATTTTAGAGGTTTTATTATCATTTTTGTACTGGACTTCATCATTTTCTCATGTTGAAAATGAAATGGGTTCTAAAATGGATATTCATAATTTATCAACGGTTATTGCCCCAAACGTTCTATATCTACCAACACCAAATAATAATGGTGAATCAGGACAACCTAGTAAATCGTACTCAGAAGGTTTTGCTGAAAATGAGGGACAACATCACTTTTTGGCCATTGAGGTTATCGATTATCTAATCACGCATAATGAAGAAATGGTTATGGTACCAAAATTTCTAATAATTTTATTAAAGGAGATCAAATCTAAAAATCTAAAAGAAATAGAACAAATATCAGCATTCATTAGTAAGAAAATAAATGAAAGAGGTATTGATTTCTCAGAGTTCAATATCGGGAACGATATCACAGTTAAGGACACCAGTGCATCTGTGCAGCAAGGTGCAACATAAAAAATCAGTATTTTACTCAACAATGTAAAATTTTGGACAATTTTGAGTAGATAGTTAAACATTCTACCAAACGAACAGAAAATAATTAAAAAATAAATAAAAAAAACTTTATCCTAATCAAGGCTATTTACAGTAGATATCATAACGTATTTAGCTTATTGTAATATTATATTCAATTTCATAAATCTTTATCTTTTACATTAAAAGATTAAATACGTGCATATGTTTATAATAAAATATATAGTTAAATATGTTGTTGTTCTTTACCTCACCGTCTTCTGAGAAGGACCGTTTGTTACTTAATTCAATTTTCAGGTTCTGTTACCTAGTTTATGAGGAATGTGGTGATGTAATTGGCCAAGAATAAGTTTCAGTTCCATTATAATCAAACCCATTCTTCTTCAAGTATTCAGATAAACCTTCTGGTCCTCTGGAACCATATGGATAAACACTTGGAGCTGGTGTTTCCGGACTCTCAATATAATTCAATAATGGAGTAAATAGTTTCCAACTTATATCTAATTCATCATCTCTGACAAAATTTGAATGATCACCTAATAAAGCATCTCTAATCAATGCTTCATAAGCTTCTGGTATCCAAAAATCTCTATATCTATCCTCATATGTTAAATCTAGATCAGTGATACTCGTCGTATCAGATAAACCTGGTGTCTTTGCGTTAAATTTTAAATACACAGCGGGATTTGGTTGTACTCTAATAACCAATTCATTATTTGGCATGTCATTAAACATACCTGTAGGAATATTTTTGTATTGTACTCTGATTTCAACCTTGCCGGCGTCAAGAGCCTTACCAGCTCTCATGATGATTGGAACACCATCCCAACGATCGTTATTAATATGGAATGTTAATGCTGCGAATGTTACACATTTGGAATTAGGTTTTACTGTCTCGTCATCCAAATAACTTGGCTTAGTACCATCGATAGATTTACCGTATTGGCCTAATAAAATATCGTCATTACTTATTGGAGCCAATGACTTTAACACTTTAACTTTTTCATCACGAATATCCTCTGAGTTGAAAGAGATAGGTCTATCCATTGTTAACAAAGTAAGAATTTGTAGCAGATGATTTTGCATGACATCTCTCACAATCCCGATTGAATCGAAATAACCACCACGACCTTCCGTTCCAAATGGTTCTTTGAACGATATTTGAATATTTTGGATAGAGTTTTTATTCCATGAAGAATTTAAAAATTTATTTCCGAATCTTAATGGAATTAAATTTTTGACCAATTCTTTTCCCAAATAATGATCTATTCTAAATATCTCTTCTTCTTTAAATAGAGGAGCTAAATCTGCTTGTAATTTTCTAGCAGAATCTAGATCATGACCAAAAGGTTTCTCAACAATGATTCTCGTTATACCATCTTTTGCATAAACAAGTTTCTTTAATTGTTGAGCCACAGGTAAGAATACACTAGGTGGTAAAGCCAAATAAAATAGGCGATGAGGAGTAGATATATTACGAGATTTCTCAAAGGTTTCAATTTCATTATTCAATTGAACAAAACCTTCATCTGTATCATATTGGCCAGATATATAATTAATCATTCCGAAAAAATCTTTAACTTTTTGATCATCTTCTTTTCCATGACGTTTCTTTAAATTAGGTTCAATTTTATCATATAATTCATCATTTGTTATTTTAGAGCGAGCATAACCGATAATCTTTGTAGATGGATCTAAGTAACCTTCTCTAAATAGACCAAATAAAGCAGGGAAGGTCTTCTTCTTGGCTAAATCACCAGAAGCACCAAAGATAACTATAATGGTATTTTTTTCAAAGGAAACAGGGTCAGACATCCTTCAATTGAATGTAAATATATTAATTTAAGAAGTTGTTATTATATGGCGAAACACAAACTCAGTAACGATTGGTAAGCTAGGCAAAAAAAAAACTTATTCTTTTTGAGTTCCACTTTTTATATTTAATAGTTTTAGACACTTATAAAAATGAAGATTATCAAAAAAAAAAAAAAATTGAAGATAAAAAACAATTGTGGCAAGACTTTATTTTATTTAAATATGTTTGAACTCAATGAAAGAGACAGAAAATGTTATTAATAATAAATTTGAAGGGGAGAAGAGAAGGACTACTATTCTTCTTGTTCGTTTGTCTTTTGTTTTTTTCCGAAAAGTACTACTAAGTTAGTACAATTCCAATTATTTAGTACAAATAAAAAAAGATTCACAATAACCGTACAGAGATTAAAATAAGACACACATATATGTATGTATATGTTCAAGAACCTTATTTTCACAGGGAGATAAAAAAGGCGTTTATGTGTCTTTTATTCTGTTAACAATCTTTTCTCACTCATGCTTAATTGCTAATCTTACAAGGAATAAATAATCTTTAAAAGTTTATAAAGAAAACGGCACCAATTTTGCCTTAACAGAAATAATATTCTTCTCTCGTAAATGTCTAAATGTCGATTTCTTTCCACCTTCTTTACTCCCCCCCATTGAAAAGTTATTCATTTTCCTACTTAACTTTGCTTTAAGTAATCTCATCATTATATTGTTACATAAGATGCAAGTTGCTGAGATATACTCGTACAAGGAATGTAGGATATGATTAGTTCCTGTGCGACCCCACTATGAAAAAATAATTTTGAGCAATTCGAGTAATATCATCTCGGACGGAACATAGCCAGTTGTAAATCAGATCGCTTATATCCCCTATTTTCTACTCTGTGGCTCAGAAATTTCGTAGAATAAAAGGAGATAAAGCCATCAGCAAACAGTAATAATAAAAAAAGAAATTTTGAATTTGCTGTGTTTTTCGGTGCTTTTTTGGAAACAAAGCATGTCTTGTCCGAATAGTTCGGCCGAATAAGAATATATTATTTCTTGTTGAAATACCGTTTTCAAATATAGAAAAAAAATATAGTGATGTCACCAGTGCAAATTTGCGCGCAAATTTGTATGAAAAAATTTCGTCTCTCTTTGAGAGAAGAGAATGTTCGCTTTTTGTTGTAGTGTAGTTTCGAACCAATGCACGCAAAATGACACACAAAAAGTTACACAAATTTGCGACCCCATATATATTTTTTTGCAAATTGTCTTTTTGAGTTGAAATGAAATTTTGTTTTCTCCAGTTTTAATTTATTGATAGGTTTTCCAAGAAGAAATTACACACAAATACATAGTTTAGCTATTTGTTTGATGGTATCACATGGAAATTGCACTTTTCTGTAATCGTTTAATGCGTCTCTTGTTGTGAGTATGGTTTATTTCATATTATTTTTGTTAAGATGACATATAGTCAACTTATGAAATGCACCCAAGTTATATTAACCTTCTGAAATTAATGATTTTGATCAGGTTTAAAAATGTATTGATTATTTGTAAAGGAAGCTAACAGTGTGACACAAGGCTAACGACTTTCAATAAGTTAATCCAATTTATATTATATGTATATATGTATATTTTCTTATCACATCAAATCATTGTTTTACATCTTGTAAAGTAAAAATGTCATTGTCGGTTTGTATAAGGGTATATTTTTCGAAAGCTACATCTATAGCAAAATAAATTGAGAAAGATTGGGCTTACTTAATTATACAAATCATTATATTATTTACGAGATTATATTGTTCTTATATCATCTAGTCTCGTACTTTGTTTCATTACCATACAGTAATCAAATGAAAACGGATAGAAAATTATATTAATATGTGTTTATATTTCTTTTTCTCACCACTGATCGTATCTGTTTTCTTTTATGATTACAACGATTATATATTGCTTAAGTTTGTCTGTGTTTTTATATTTATTCACAACGTAATGCTTTGATCACAGCAGGTCTTCTCATCATGTGTTTAGTCCATTTGTACACTTCAGGATATTCCAATTTAATATTGATACCAATACGATCCACAACATTATTCCATGGAACGAACGATAGATCTGCTATAGTAATTCTATCACAAACAAGCCATATCGGATAATCAAAAAATCTACTTTGTGATAATGGAGTTGTACCAGCAGAATATGATGCTGCATTATCAATATCTAATTCCATAATTAAACTCTCTCTTTTTTCAGCCAAAGCCATTTCAATCACAGCATAAACTCTTCTTACTTCAGCAGTGTATCTGTCTAATGCACTTGGTAATTTTTCAGAATGGAAGTATCTGAAATGTAATGCTTGCCCAATCATTGGTGCATGACCTGTAGCTTGGAAAAATAACCATCCATTGATTTGAGCTTGTTCTGCTAAGTCACTAGACCAAAGTTTTGCATCGCCAGTAGCTTTATAGTATCTATTTACTAAATGTAAAAGAATTGCACCCGATTCCCAAACGGATAAATTATCCATGCCATGATCAATCAAAGCAGGAACACGAGCATTTGGGGTAATAGAGATGAATTCAGGTGATCTATGTTCTCCCGCATTAAAATCAAGGAAAAATGTATTATATGAAAGATTCAGTTCACTTAGAATAATGGCTACTTTGAAACCATTTGGAGCAGATCTATGTGAAAATAAGGTATATCCTGAGACTGGTTGATTTTGAAAGAAATTTACAAGTCTTGAATTATCAACATTCGAATTCTGATTTATTTGACCTGAATTTTGAGAAGGAAGAATATCATGTTGAACTATTGGTTCATTAAATCCTTGATCTCCATTTCCAATTATTGAAGGATTTGTATTCGTTGGAGGTCTTTGTAATAGCATATCATTACCAACTTGGCCTGGAGCATTTTGTCGTAATATATTTATATTGGGGTTCCCATCATTATTGTTACTATTTATATTATTATTATCTTGTATGTTGATATTTCGTAGTGCACTGGATAGATTTGAGACAGGTGGATTTGTTGGATTGTTCATAGTTGCTGTGGCTCTGAATGCAATATCTTGAGATTATATAGATAAGGAAGGTATGTGGTGAACTACTTTATGCTTCTCTTTGGAATGGTAATAAAAAACTGTCTAATCTTTTAGTCATAAATAAGTGTTAATAGAAACGTACTCAGTTATTCTTATATCTTATTTTCTTGTTTGAAAAATAAATAGTAGAACTAACTAATATGATTATTTAATAGATGACTGTTCTTAGTAGCGGATCTTAGTAATGGTTCTAAATTCAAAAAAGAATATCAAAGACAACTTTATTGAAATATTCGCTCTTCTATCAATATCTACTGCATATGCTTCTGTAACTTGAAAGAAAAATTTCAATATTCAATGAGCCAACCTGAACTGAGTTCGATGGATATTGCGATGATGATGATGGTTTTGCTTTCTCTTTCAGTCTCCGTCGCTTTTTGTTGTTGTTGTTTTTTTCTTGTCCCTCTCACTTTGAATTTTTTTAGAGCCTCATTAGCGGAACTTTCACCTTAACAGTGAGAGCACCGGAAAACAAAAAAACATTTCAACGAATAGCAAGCAATGTGGTTGGATTGGAATCGAAATTTAAGTTGCCATGTCAGTAGAGTTACAGCTGGATATGACACTGTTTGAAGGTTGTTATAGTTGTCATTGCTTATGAGTTTTTCTTAGAGCCTTCAGAAATATTGTATTACTGTTTTTATAGCTTAGTGATAATGCAATTACATAAAGTTTCGAGACACTCTTCTAATGGATGTCTGATATTATTAAGTGAGTTGGTAGCTACATACTGATTGAATGCTTCACGGTTGTAATCGGCTAGCATAATTTGTTTACCATGTAGTTGATAATATAGACGGTTAGCAAAATATGCATACAGGTTCCGTTCATAAATCAAATATATTCCAATTAGAGGTATTTTTTTGGCAAGTTTACTGAATGGTATATTAAGAAGAATAATTAAATTCTTAATCACATTTTGTGATTCAACTATTGTTAGTTTATCAACATCATCGACTTCTAGGAAATCATATGTGTCTCTAGAAGTATCAGAATTATTTAATGACATCTGATCATATGTGATTTTCTTGGTTTCATCACCTATCAGTTCAATGAGACGTTGTGCATTTGATTCAGCTATATTGACTTGTGTTTCTAACTTGATAGATATGACATTTTTCTCCTTATTTATTTTGTCATTGATCCTTTGTAAGTCATTGATCCTTTCGATAGCTTCCTCGATCTGAGCTTTCAGGGTCCTTTCCATTTTTTGAAAATCGGTTATTTTATTCTCAAATGCTAGGTATGTTTGATCTTTAGTAGAGTTGAGTTTCAACATACAGTTTTCTACCTCTTTTATCAATTTTTCATTGATTGTTACCTTCATCTGATCCAGAAATAAACTCATTTCTCCCAGAATATAGTTATCATCTTTCGTACGGAAACCAATTATGTTATTATGCTGTTCTTTGAATTTCTTCTCAAAGAGTTTAGATATGTCAATGTCTTCTTTATCTTCATCAACGTTATTATCTGAAATAACTTTCAGCATGTCGTTAATTATATCAGAAAGATCCACTTCAAAAAGTTTCAAGTTGAGAATAACCCATTCGACTTGTTTCTGAGTTTTGGTGTAATAATTTAATTGACGCTCGTATTCAAGATTCTTTTTGCCTTCATTATCAACAAGAATCTGTACTCTTTTTTTAATTGTTTCCTCGCATTGTTTAAAATACTTCTGGGATGACAGTTTCATTATATCTTGTTTTACATATAATGCTTTTTCAAGATCTTTAACCTTTTGGTTAATTTCTGGGATAATCTGTTTACATTTCATTATTTCTTGTCTATTATTATTAAAGCTAAATGAAATTTGTTCTTTTATTTTAAAAATTGAACCTTTTAATTGTTTGAATGATTTATCCCTTTCTTGTGATAAAGAAGACATGTCCTTAAGTTTCTCGTTTAAACACATATTTTCACATTTTAGAGTCTCTATTGTTTTGTTTGCTTCCTTCAGATCTTGTTTAAACTCAAGTACTTGTTTTCTTAAATCATTAATCTTTTTCTTTGAGGGATCTTTCTTTGTGATAGAATTGTTATTTTCCCAGTTTAAACTTCCGGTTCTTTCAGTAATCATCTCACATGGATTAATGTTTTCATTTAAAGTTGAAAAGGTTTCAATTTCATCCTCGAATTCTTCTTGTTCCTCTAAAATATCAGTTTCAATTTCTTTATCATTTGACTTTAAATCTGACTCAGTTTCTACTTGTTGTTGATTATCAGGAGCTAAGGTCCTTATTGTTTGGTCTTCCACATTATTCTCTTGGTTTAATTTAGTAGTGTCTAGTCGTTTCGAATTATTTTCACTTTTTTCTTCAATTTGAGTAGAGTCTTGATTCTCAGTACGCTTACTATTTATATTTGACAGACAAGATTTAATGTCTTCTGACTTTAGAAAATCACCAGGAGTCGTACATTCTGTAACTTGTTGATTCTTCTCGGTTTTTTCAATTGTTGTTCCAACTGAAGTGAAGGAATCGTTGTCATTATCATTGTCATTTTTTTTACTCTCTTTCGATTTTCTATATTTTCCCTTCATCTCTAAATCAGAACAGAGAATTAACTGTTGTACAGGACTATTTCCTTTACTTGGTGATAAATATATTCCAGTAAACTTTGATGTGAAAGATGAAGGAATATTATTTTCTTGTGTCTCTTCTGTGTCTTGTTGGGGATTCGTTTCAGGATCTGGAGTGGGGCTCAATGACATTGTTTCAAAATCTGAATAGACCCTTTAATTATAACTACAACGAAGGTTTGAGTTTATAAAATATCTATATATATATATAATATTTTAACGTTTTATAAGACATGTAGTTTTCCATGTTTTCCACTTTTATTATTGTAAAACTTGGATTTGTGTCGCAGTATTGGTTTTCCGTTTCCTAATATTTTTATTTATTTGGAACGAATGTTAAGAAGTTCGAACTTAACATAAAAAATAAACAAAAAAACAATAGTGACAATCACCTGCATCCGCTAGAATAGAAAGATTATGTCTTCTAAAACTTCAATTCAGTATATAAATATATAAATACATAAATATATAATAATCCTAGTTCTTTACGTTGTGACCATTTACCCACACTTTAACCACATTTCTGTCATCCGCATTGAAAAACCATTTACTGATGACATCATTAATATCGAATGCCTCGAGTTTGTTCAATTGAGTAATCTTAGGTTTGGTGCCTGATAGAGTTGGCACTTGCCATTCAAATATATCTATGGTAGAAGTGGGGCTTCTCAAATCAATCTCTTGACAATCGAAACTTTTCCCTATTTCAAAGGAACCAATTTGTTTCTCCATATCCAAGACCTTTGCACCACCCATTGTGGCCAAATACAGACATTCATTGACTGATAATTTAGCATCTTGATTTTCTTTCTTAATTGCTAGATGTCTTGATACTGAAAAAGCAGCTTTAGCAGACTCCAAAATACTACAAGAATACCCAGCTGAGACATCTGTCCCCAACCCGATTTTTTCAATACCGTCTGTATACATTTGTTTAATGGGACATTCCCCGGATGTCAAAGAAGTGTTAGAGATGGGACAATGAGCGATCCCTGATTGTTTCAATTTGATAAGGTCAATCTCTTCTGCTGTCAAATGAATGGAATGAGCCAATATTGTCCGATGATTCAATAGACCGTATTTGTTATAAACATCTGTATAACTTTCACATTCAGGAAACAATTCTTTGACCCAATTGATCTCATTAAAATTTTCAGATAAATGAGTCTGTATATGAAGTGATTTATCCTTAGCTAAGTTTCCTATTTTCTCCATCAAATTTCTTGAACAAGATGGTGCAAACCTTGGTGTCACAATAGGTTGGATCAAAGGTTCACACAATTCATTCTCAATATAATCTACAAACTCTACCAATGAAGAGACAGATTCCTTGCATGTCTCAATGTAATAATCAGGACTATTAGAATCCATGCATACTTTCCCAATCAATGCTCTTTGTCCATGCATGACACAAGTCTTAGCCATTATCTTCGATGCCTCTAAATCAATAGTAGTAAAATAAGTAGCTGTAGTGGTACCATTTGCAAGAGTTCTCGAAACTACTTTATCATACACTTTTTCAGCATAAGGCAAATGACTCAAAGCAGCTTCTGTTGGGAAAGTATATTTATTTAACCAATCTAATAAAGTAGAGTCATTACCCAGAATCCCACAGTTAGGGTATTGAGATGCGTGTATATGAGTATCTATAAACCCTGGGAAGAAAAAAGTGTTAATATGGTTATCATAGTTAGTTGAATGAACCACGATTTGAATATTTTCTTCGATTAAAGATGAATCATATTGAAGTGTAATCTTTAGAGGGTCCTTACAGTCCTCTACGATGAATTGAATCTTACCAAACTTATCGGGTATAGACACATCCATACATACACCCACAGCGGTGTCCTTTCTAATTCTAAGCGACCCAAATTCTGGAGTATCTACGAAAGTTCCATAGAAAGTGATAAATGTCTTTTTGACTTCGTCACTGAATGTCATCTGAAGGCGTACGTAGTTGTATATTAATTCTATAAGTTATATTATTACAGACACACTACGAATCAGAAAGGGACAAAGTTACGAATTACTTAAATAAACACAGATATATATATGTATTTGATATGGAAGATATATACGCCTATCTGTTATCGCAATCCTCGAGAACCGTTTATCTATGAGATGATTAGTAATTCCATCAGTTTTGGCAGGCGCTGCTTATCAAAGAGAGCACAGAGAGACCAGCGAATGGCTGTGCTGACTCACTAAACAATTTCACATCACGTGTAGCTGCCCGTGCAACACGATATCACACGTGACCACCCTTTGCAAAAAAAGAAGTCACAAATGTCCACACCGAAACGGCCAAACCAATAAAGCCCTCATTTAACCCACGCGAACAACAGCAGCAAATTCTCACTGTGAAATTTTTAGTGGGATTCGTCTCCCCACGCCTGGCGAAGAAACAGCAGCAGGAAGAGCTCAGAGGCAAAGGAAGTCACGCCAATTAAGAACTAATTACAGATTTTAATTGCAAAATAAGAAAGTGAAAAGTTTCGGGCATCCCATTAGAAGGATATACTTTGTTCATGAGGAAGAAGGTGAATTTAATGACAATGAGATATATTCAAGACACGCCAATCTGGTTTTCTTGCGAACTATATAAAGATGCCGGTTTATTGAATATTTACATTTCTTCGATTCAATCTCCTATTTTCCAATTTGATTTATATATATATTTTTTATTTTTGCAAACTCAAACTCAAGACATAAATAATAATTAATAAATACTTCTTCTTCTTATTACTATTCTTGTTCATTGTATTCTATAATATATCGTTGTGAATGTGTTCCTCCTGATAGAAACTTTTTTATTTTTATTTTAGAAGAAACTTCGATTTTGCATCTATTTTACTCTGTCTTTACATACACTATTTTTATTTAATTAATAATTCATCATGGTTAACGTTGTTCTAGGTTCCCAATGGGGTGATGAAGGTAAGGGTAAGTTAGTCGATCTTTTGGTCGGTAAATACGATATCGTGGCTCGTTGTGCTGGTGGTAACAATGCCGGTCATACCATCGTCGTTAAAGGTGTGAAATATGATTTCCATATGTTACCTTCAGGTTTAGTTAATCCAAATTGTCAAAATTTGTTAGGTAATGGTGTCGTAATTCACTTACCTTCTTTCTTTAAAGAATTAGAAACTTTGGAAGCTAAAGGTTTACAAAATTGTCGTGAAAGATTGTTTGTATCTTCCAGAGCTCATTTAGTCTTCGATTTCCATCAAATCACTGATAAATTAAGAGAAAATGAATTAGCAGGTAGATCTAAGGATGGTAAGAATATCGGTACCACAGGTAAAGGTATCGGTCCAACCTACGCTACTAAGGCCTCCAGATCTGGTCTAAGAGTTCATCATTTGGTTAATGACTTACCAGGTGCTTGGGAACAATTCGAAACAAAATTCAGAAGATTAGTGGAGACTAGACATTTGAGATACGGTGATTTCGATTTCGATGTCGAAGCTCAATTGGCTCAATACAAAGTATTGAAGGAACAATTGAAACCTTTTGTCGTGGACTCTGTATTGTTCATGCATAACGCTATGCAACAAAACAAAAAGATCCTTGTCGAAGGTGCTAACGCTCTAATGTTAGACATCGACTTTGGTACTTATCCATTCGTTACATCCTCTGCCACTGGTATTGGTGGTGTCATCACTGGTTTAGGTATTCCACCACGTTCCATCGAGGAAATTTACGGTGTCGTAAAGGCTTACACCACTAGAGTCGGTGAAGGTCCATTCCCAACTGAACAATTGAACCCTGACGGTGAGAAGTTGCAAACCATTGGTGCCGAATTTGGTGTCACTACAGGCCGTAAGCGTCGTTGTGGTTGGTTAGATCTAGTGGTGTTGAAATACTCCACTATGATTAATGGTTACACAAGTCTAAACATCACCAAATTGGATGTTTTGGATACCTTCAAGGATATCCCTGTGGGTGTCTCTTACTCTATCAAGGGTGAAAAATTAGAATCCTTCCCAGAAGATCTAATTAAGCTTGGTAGTGTCGATGTCGAATACGTCACTTTACCAGGTTGGAACGAAGACATCACCTCCATCAAGACTTACGACGCTTTACCGGAGAATGCCAAGAAATACTTGAAATTCATCGAAGAGTTTGTTGGTGTTCCTGTTGAATGGGTTGGTACTGGTCCAGGTAGAGAAAGTATGCTACACAAGGAGATCTAATCTCTTTTCCCTCTTTTTATCTCCCCCCCCC